TTGTGGCGAGAATAATTAAGGCCCAAGATTTGGAATAATCTAGATACTGTAGTTGCTGTTTATTGATGGCCTGTTCTATTTTTGCTATAGCCTTTTCTCCTTCTACAGTTAATTGTCGGGGAGACTTAGGGTTAGAATCTCCCTTTAAAATGTCAAATAGAGGTTTTAAGTCAAGAGTGGTTATTTTTAGATATGACCTGACCCAGTTGATATCACCTAATAGTTTCTGATAATCATTCAATGTGTTTAAATGATCTTAATGTTCATGACTAAAAGTCTTGTAGAAAAAAAGTTAAGTCCATAACTTTTTACACAAAGAAACTGATTAAAAAATCATCTTCATTTAATTGATTCTACAGTATCTAAAGACTTAAAAAAAAGTAAAGCAGCCACACAAAAATAAATTTTGGCAAATTATAGATGAAAACTAGAAAGATAAAATTATGCAATCTGTATTTTTTAGATATTGGCCAATATTCTATAATCAAGACTTAATTAAAAGCTTGTATTTTCTTTTCATCAGAAATCCATGCAGATCAAACCTCTTATGACATACTGAGGTTAAACTATAACTTCTTGAAAAAGATAGTTTATTTTTTCAACTGTTGATACTACTGCAATTTATTGTCTTTAATCCATTTTGTAGATTTCTTACAAAAATATTTTTAATGCTATATTTCACGTAACTAAAACAGTGAATGACTGTGCTCTAATCTTATTTCTAGTGATAACAGAATGTTTAAAACTCAAACCTTTTAATCTGGTATGTCCTTCAGTCCAACATATAGGCATTTTCAAAGACATATTTAAATTTTTATTTAATTAAAAGATGAAAATTAGCACAATAAAAATGGCAAAAACAACTAGGTCCCTATTTTACTGAGACATATAACCTGCAGAATGTAAATAACCATTTACAGAATGTCCATAGGAAAGATACAGAAAGGAAGGTAAAAGAATGATCAAGAACAATGTCATATACCCAGAAACTCTGTATTTTCTTAGAAACCAAATAAGGAATAGCTTACTCTCTTTAGAAATAAGCATTTAAACATTAGTTTTCCAGATATTAACTAGCATTATCTATAAGCATACTCCAGTGAAAGAAAACCCTCTCTATACAAAGGATTTTCAAAGTCCATATACTAAGTGCAAACTAGCTCATGAAATCCTTATTTAAGATATTTAGCAATATCATTATGTTCCCTAGGTTAGTTAACAATACTTCCAGAACTGGAATAGTGAATACCTAGTCCACTTTTGGGCATTAGATTCTATAATTCCTGCGGATCAGATCACATGCCTAGACACCAAGGTTGCGGTATGTGGGTGAGTTTCATCATCGTCAAGTCCTGATTAAAAATCCAATTAAGTACTAGACTTCAACAGCCATCACACTGTATAAATCAAGAACTTAATTTTCTAGTTCTGTCCTAGTCAGTGGCCCATTGTATTTCTGATTCCACAATGCCTTCCTAGTTCTCACTGTTAACAGATTGATTTTGTAAAAGTGAAATGCTTAAAATCCAAAGAATATAAAATACTAATAATAAACATGCTAATGAGAATTCAAGAAAAAGACCCCCCCGTGGCCTCGAATGATTCAAAAGTATTTGAAACAAACAAATCTCACCCCAAGCCTAGAGTTAACAATGTCACTTCCTTATAAATTCTATTACAAAAATGTTAGTGTAGGTTCTTAAAATTTTCCAATAATGTAGTTGTCTGCCTTTATTAATACTCCAATATTTTGTACATTCCTTTACATTACATCAATTTATAATAATCACGATTAACTTACTTAATTATAAACCTAAAAATATAGTATCACAAGCTATTTTATAATTCTTTACTCTTATCAAATACCTTTGAATCAAACATAATTTTTAAATGCAGCTTCTTGCTTTCCTTAGTTCAGTTTAGGGTTATTTGGTATTAAGCATCTAAGTGTACAATTACAGTACTGAAAGGTTTGAGATACTTACAGAATCATAATAGAAACCAGTGCTGTGGTCAAAGTACAGTCCAGTATTCTCATCATAACTAAATCCCGTCTGTGATACAGCAGCTTCTGCTGCAGCTCTCAAACTTTCAGCTAATGATGAACCTTCTAAAGATGCATCCTCTGTTGCTAATGCAGATGCTGGCTCCTAGGTAAGATAAATTCATGTCAAATAAGACAAAAATATTCTTATAGCAACTTAAAAGTTAGCAAAATTAGAAATAATAAATAGACTTAAGAGCTATTTTAAATAATAAGGCTTCAATTTCTGCAATGGAAGGGATGGCTATCAATTATAATTTGATTCACTTAAAAAATATTTATCAGTTAATTCAATTTTGACTCTGTTTTGAAAACACTGACCATTACTCAAAAATAAATACCTAATACCATAGAGAAGTAATCCACAAAATATGGACTCTGAAGTACACTTTAAGACAAACTATCTCGAGTCTTCCATAATCATAGGTCCAAAGGGAAAAAACATTTTAGAAGAGAGATGGAAGAGAAAGCTATGGATTATGTGAGATTTATCACAGCCTCAGCAGTTGCACTGTATAAACCTTACTGGGATCCTGATTCAAACACACAACTACAGAAAAAAATTATGAAACATCCAACTTATAATGGCAGGATATATGACAGAGAGGAAGCATTAAAAAAATTTTGTGTAGCCCAGGCCGGTGGCTCAACTGGTTGGAATGTCATCCCATACACAAAAAGGTTGTGGGTTTGATTCCCAGTCAGGGCACATACCTAGGTTGCGGGTTCGGTTCCGTCAGGCATGGAAGGGAGGCAACTGATCGATGTTTCTCTATCACATCGATGTTTCTCTCCTTCCCCTTCATCCCTACTCCTCTTAAAAATCAATTTTAAAAAAACCCATGAGTGAGGATTTTTTTTAAAAAAAGTAACTGGTAAATCTAGGTGAAGGATAGACAGGAATTTATTGCACAATTCTTGGGTCTTTTCTGTTGGTTTTTTTTTCACTCCCTCTTCCTCTCCCTCTCCCTCTCCCTCTCCCTCTCTCTCAAAAAGATCAATAAAAACATATTCTTGGGTGCAAATTTTTTTAAAAAAATTGTTGTGAACAAAGTTACTGTGGTAGTTGCACAAAATTTTTTGATTGAGCCAAAATATGACAATTTTCTTTGTTTTAGTTTATGTACATCACCAGATTTTAGAACACAACAAAGTCGGAAAAAAATATATGAGCAATTTTTGTTTCTCTAAAAGTGTAATATTCTGCATAATTATACACAGAATATTTACAACCCCTGTATATGTTGTCATGGACCAAAGAAGTCAATTTGCATAATAACAATAATGAAGGACAAGTTCTTGGGCATCAGTAGTAGTAGCATGTTATTACCTGTGAATTTAAGGCAAAACGGTCCTCTTGTCCACATTCAACCTTTTCCGTTACATCAGTACCAGCATACACATCATTTTCTATTTGTGACTGGTTTTTAAAATTATAAGCAGAAGCTTCGATATCCTGATCTTGCTGAACTGAAAGTTCTGTCACTTTATTTGGAAGACTAAGATCCTTATAGTATGTCTGATAATAATAATCTACAGCAAAAACAAATTGTGATACATATTAGCATAGTGTATATAAAAAAGACTTAGAATTCTAAAATATTGGCACTGAACACAAAACAGTACACACTGCAAACCATATTTTTATAATTGTACACATTTTAACATTAAAATTGATAGTGCAGATAAATTTGCAGATGCTTTTATCTTTGATTCTAATGTCACTTTAAGTACTCTGTCAAGCTAAAAAAATTAAAAAAGGTAAGCAGATTTTTATTTTCCATAGAAAGACTAAAAAAGAAAATAGGTAAATAAGTTGTATTCTGTCAAAAAAAATGAGCAACTCTTAACAATTTCTAACCACAAAGATTAATATCATTGCATATCAAATGTCAATGGAATAAAGACATGTCAAAGGTTGATTTCTCTGTCAAATCTCTCTCATGATGCTGACTTTTAAAAAAATATATTATCATGCAGATATGTAATATTAATGCTATTGCTGTGTTTAGCAATTTAACTAAATTATATGCTGAATAAAATAAGACAAACTTAATGGAAAAATAAAATTTGATCCCTATTTATTACAACTCAGTTACTCAGTTATTTTGCCTCACAACATAATTCCACTGATGAGGTCATGGTTGTGGGCTCACCATTCCCACAAAGGCTTAAGAGACGGTCACTGAGCACAATATTAAGTGGAATGCATCAACAAGAAAACACATGCACCTGGTCACATGGAAGACCAGATATGAGAGTAAATGGCTCACAGCATGGCAGAAGTTACTCAGTGAATGTGCCACTAAAGACACAGTAGTAATCCTGTGTATTTATAGGAATGCAATGCATTTCTACTTTCGCATCAGAAGAGCAAATCGATTATCTGAAAATGAAATACGTAATCATATGGAGAGAGGACAACCTTGTAACAGTCCTCTATTTATCGAGACATTTGTCTATTTTAAATTTAGTGAAAATTACATATTAGCATGATTTGAATGTGATAAATGTTAGGATATCTCCAATATCAACTAAATACCTGAGATTGACCAAGGAGGGTGGTTCTCTGTTTGTACTTCTACGTCAGACTTCTTATTATCTTCCTTTCTCCCACAATAGAGTATTTTACTGAGCTCTTCTACCTAAAAAAAAACAAGGCTTTAGGAAAAAGAAATCATATAGCAATCTAAAAACATGCACACCATTCTCTTGAAATTACAATAATTATCTTTTTCTTGGCATAACTTTTAGAGAAGTACCAATAGTAGGCAGTTTCCTTGTCAGAAAAACTGAAAATACTATCATTTGCTTTCTTTCATCTTTTACATTTGCAGAGGGAAATGCTTTTTATTCTTATATTCTCTTGCTAAACCTCAAAATATCCCCTTTGAAAATCAAATAGACTAAATTAATAGGACTTTATGAACAGAATCCTTTATTTTCAAAAAATAAGAATGTTTTTATACTAATATTTTAATTGGTCAGCAGTTCTCTCTAAAGAATTAAGGGAGAAAAAAACCATTAATTCTCATGCATTTAATTAAAAAGTACTTTAATGTATGATTTTCCTTTAAATTGTAGTCTTATGACTCAATACTGCAGCAGAAGAAAAGAGAAGTGACTGCCTCAGAGGGGCACCCATCCTCCCTGTGCCTCACTGACTGCCAAAGCTAGAGCAACAGAGTGCAGAAACAGCCATAAGCAATGAGGAGCAGCCTCCTCAATACACCTCGGACAATACCTAAGAGGGAGATGTCTATTACAGGCCTGAAAGAAACTAAAACACAAGCTTCTATTTCTTTAATAATACATAAAGCTTAAATATAGGGGATAAAACTGATTATATATAGCCCAGCTGGTGTTGCTCAGTGGTTGCATGTCAACCTATGACCCGGGAGGTTAAGGCACATGCCCTGGTTGTGGGTTCAATCCCCAGTAGGGAGCGTGCAGAAAGCAGGTGATCAACGATTCTCTCTCATCATTGATGTTTCTACTCTCCCTCTCCCTTCCTCTGAGATCAATAAAAACATAAAATACTGATAATATATGATCTTGGCACTTCATAAATTATCAGATCTGCTCATACAACCAGGGCTGGAACTAGGGCGAATCAAGCAAGGCACCTAGGTAGCAAATTAAGGAGGCACTCAGCCTCAGCTTCCTGCAAGTATTGGGTCTATACCTGAGAGTCAGTGCCTTCTTAAATTTTTCACCCTGGACTACGGATTGCCTCGTCCAGTCTCGGCTCTGCTCTGCCACTACCACTATTACTATCAACTAGATCATTTCTTTAGTATCTGTTACGTGCTAGGCACTATATTTGTCACTTTGGGTAACATCTTTATTAATTCTTACTACCATCTCACAAATTAGTTTTCCTAATCCCCATTTTATATGTGAGAAATGTGGAGACAAAGTAATTGCACATGTTTATACTGCCTCCAAAGCCTGTACATACTATGTTTTTTAACAGTTCACCCTCAATTCTCAACCCATTTTTACTGTTCTAGATAAAATACTTAGTAATTTGGGGTGACAGTTAACAACCAAACTCTACCACCACCAGGGGAGGCTGATTAGGAGGAGAGTAAGGAGCAATGACTATCACCAGTAGTCAAGACTTTCCATCCATTTCAAAGTTTCGTGTTAGACCACTCTTAAATTAACACTAATAACCCAAATGCTGGCTCTTCAACGGTTAGCAAACACGTTTATTTGTTTTTTAGGATCTCTCTCTAAAGCAGGCATTACTTGAACAATTGGAAATTATTATAAAAAGTTTTTTTAAAAGGCTGTCATATTTTGCTCCCCTTCCCCCAAGGATTTTTTAACAATATTTGTAGTCTCCTAGCACAGTCCTTAAACATTACAGGTGTTCCAAAACTAGCTGAATAAACAAATCCAAATTTTCTATAATATCATAATGTCAATAACTATGCAATGGGCACACCAAGTCATTGCAACTCAGCAGTTCTTTTCACAGATCATTTGATAATAAGGCATATCAAAGTTTGATGACATTTTAGGGTTCAGACTACATATGAGGTTTTAGCAATGGTACCCCATATATTACAAAGGACTAGACAACAGTTTAATTGAAATTATTAATTATGTGAAAATAACTTATCAGGACACGGTGCAACCGCCAAACAAATCAAGTTGGAAAAAAGCATTATGCTCCTCTTTAGAAGTTTTTTTTTAAGTGTGACAGTTTAAATATCTGTCCTTAATGTATTTTATAAAAATGAAGTTAGCTGCTTAGTCTCTAGCAAATAAAGTTCTATCTTCCCTACTTCCAACAGAAAACTCAAAATGATAAGCGCCCAGAATGACCACCTTACACAAAGGCTCAATGGCTTGTTCACGCTTAAATGGGTTGAACCTTCACCTGGGCGGTGCTAGCATTCTTTTTCATGGGCAACCCAGGGTCAGGGTCAGTTCGCACATCTAGTGACAGAGGGGATTCTGATGACAGTCCGGCGCTTTAAGAAACCCCAAAGGTGCCCTAACCAGTTTGGCTCAGTGGATAGAGCGTCGGCCTGCGGACTGAAGGGTCCCAGGTTCCTTTCCGGTCAAGGGCATGTACCTTGGTAGCGGGCACATCCCCAGTAAGGGGGTGTGCAGGAGGCAGCTGATCGACGTTTCTCTCTCATGGATGTTTCTAACTCTCTAACCCTCCCCCTTTCTCTCTGTAAAAAAAGTCAATAAAATATATATTTTTTTAAAAAGAGAAAGAAACCCCAAAGGTAACCTGGAAGGTACTATATGTGCCTACTGCCAGCGGGCAACGCCGAGAACGAAGTTCAGTGCACACCAGCCGGAACTTCTGCTCGCGCGCTTATCTAAATCGAGTAACCGGAACTCTTAGGTTTGCTCCAAATGCACGTGGAATGTTAATCGCACTGAACTTTTATTTCTTCCACAATAGAGTATTTTACTGAGCTCTTCTACCTGGGTGCGGAGCTCCTGGTTGTTGCTCTCGGCGCTCTGGTACAGCCGCTCCGTGTGGTGCAAAAGCTTCTCCACCTCCCGCACCTGCCGCTTGCAGCTCCGCAGCTCGCGTTCCAACTTCTCCACCTTCCGCCTCAGCTGGGCCAGCTCCGGCTCAGGGGAGGTGGGTGGCGATGGAGACAACGAAGGAGACGGCGCCTCGGACGCCATGGGGTCCGGCGCGAGGCGGCCCGTGGGCGCCGAGGGGCTGCGCTCAGACGGAGG